TACAGGTCTCCTATCCTTTTTTTTATTTTTATGTATTTTTTTGTTCCTCTCTTCAAACTCAAGTTGGTTAGTTTCTATCCTCCTTGAGTTTGCGGGGGGCTGTTAGAATTTACCTACACCTACCACCACCTACTACCACACCTACTACACCTACCACCAATTTACCCTCACCTACTACCCAAACCCTCTCCTATATAATGAGCTACTCTGATTTGTAATATAACACATCAATACAACAAACATATCAATCAATAATACATCAGTTTATTTTACAATCTATGATAAGATCGTTTATTTACAATGGAAACTAGTTTCCAAAGTCAACAGATCTCAATAATAAAGAATTCAAATTCAACCATTCATGATTATTTCTTTTGTCTCTTATTTTTGAGATACAAATATTAAGCAAAAATTCAAAATTTTATCTTTTATTTTAAATGGAAAATAACAATTTCACAAAGTTATATAAATTCTAAATTAATACATAACAAAAAGACGATAGTTATGTTTTGATGTCAAAATACCACAATAGTCTGATCAGATGAGAACTGAGATTCTTATCTTGCTTTGCAGGCTTTATTGTTGTTGGGTTTTGAAGTGGAAGAGGCGCTGAAGGTAAATTTTATCATTCTATCAGTTGCCTTTTCTATTTACACCTTTTACTGAGGTTAGTTTATCCAAATTGTTCTCATTATTGATGGCGTACCCTCTGCAGTGATCCAAATAACTTGCATTTCTTGTGAAACATCTTCCTTTGTCGTCATCATGTTTCCTCTCTTCTTTCTTATAAAAATAAACTAGTTAAAGTGAAGATATGGTGTTTGGCATAATCTTCTTTTCTTATTTGTACTTATCTATGATAGTTTATTTGGGATTTTTCTTTCATCAAGTTGAATGGACCTTATCAATAGCTTCGAAAAAGCAATGGTGCCTAGATTCTCTAGAAATCACGGAGTGTTGTCCAAGAAAAGTGTTTTCATAAGCATTGTAACTAGTACTTTAAGGTGTTTATCTTGTTGCAGATACAGCAGCTTCTAAAAGAGATGGGTGGTGAATTCCTAGAGGTAATTTCGCAGATTGCAGCTCTCTCCATTGCTTAATTTTTTTTGGACTTCGCCAATAAAGATTTTTTATTATTTTTTTCTGGACTCTGCCAAGAATTTCCTAATCTTACATCTGAACAATTATGGCCTCTTCAAAGTGTTACATGGTCTTGGGTAGAACTCAACCCCAAAAGCTAATTCATTGAGGGCTTATATGTACTACGCATTACTTTTTACCCAGGCGATGTGGGACTTTGTTTCAAACAAAGAACTCAAACTTGAAGAGTTTTCAACTACCAAAACCCAATCCTGAAACATTATTCAGGAGTATTTTTCCATTTGCTCTTCTTGAGGGTGATTCATGTGCCCTTTGCTTACTCGAGAAAAAAGGATGTCTTTATAGAGAAACATAGTATAAAGAATGTCCTACTAAGAAAGGGTCCAATGGGTAGAACTGTAGAATTAGATTTTAGAAGAATTATCTTCTGGATTTTCTTTGCTGGAATATACCAGACCATTGTGATTATTTACCCATTTCTTTTAAACTTTCACATTTGAACAAAGAAACTGTTATTAGTATCATTATGAATACTGTTAGGTGTATCTGGATCTAATAACCATTCATTGAAACTTACAAGAACGAAAATTCTATATCCATTATGATTTCTACATTCAAATTTATACTGCAGGTGATTTTTTGTACTGAAGACATGATTACAGGCACACTCTGGGAAGCAGTGAATACAAAGCAACCCAATTTGGATACAGTGAAGGTTAAGTTTCTAACCTGCTTGGCGCCTGGACTTTTTTATTTTACCAACCACTATGCCTTTTGATTTCCAGGGGCAGTGTGAATACAAGTGAAGTCCTTTTACAAATGAGATGCAATGGTCATTTACTTAGGCATACCAATACACAATAGTGAATAATGATTCCATATGCAATGTAGTTTTCATTATTTTTTTAGTCAATCAAATATGGGAATGGACATTTTGATGAAATGATCATATTCCATTCCACTCCATTCCAATGAACGAAACACTACTTTAGGGCTTTCAGAATTCTGTTAATTTTGATTTGTAAAATTAACCAAATAAAGATGCAATTGATGCATTTCAGTAGTACTAACTTTGAAGAGAAGACTGGACAAATGACTCCTTTTTAGCAGAAACTAAATATCATTTAACAGTAAACCACCTTGGAAGAAGGCTGCATATTCTTAATTGCAGTTTTTAAACTGAAAATACAGAGTAGAGTATGATCAGATTGTAAGGTTGTAAGTTTCTGAATAATAATCTATATATTCAATTGTGTTTAATGATGCTATCGTTTGCACACCAAAATAAAATGAATAAAACAGGTAGCAACTACTATTATGAAGTATAGCGGTTGAGAACGGGTGTTAAACTAGAGAGACTAGGGCTAGTTATTTTTAGTTCAAGATTTCGGTTTTGAAAATGAAAAATGAGAAAAAGAAAACCTTAGGGTCTAGAATCCATTACTGACCTTGTAATTGGGGGTTATTGTATTTAGGTGTAAAAAATCATTGAAATGGGTACTATGATGTGTCTTGGTCGGGACACATCACTTAAAAAGATTTGTGTTTAAAAATCAGAAAGCCACGAATCATCTTTGCCTAGTACGGACCGTCACCACTAAACTAAATTAAACTGAGGTTGATGCACGACCTGTCTTATTAGGTATGACTCGTTTAACAATTTTAATACACAAGCAGCAAAAACAATTGTATAACATGTATTCATGACTAGTGAACTCATAATTTGATAAAACAATATTTGCACAAAAATCTAAGTCATACAACAGTACCAAAATCAATTAAAAATCTACAAAACTAAATGCAAACTACCACAATCACTTGATCAGAGTTTTCATCTTAACCCTAAGATAAAGAGGTTAGTTCGTCATACTAATATTACGACCACTATATAAAAGAAACACTCTAAGAACTCCAACTATTTATTTCTTTCTTTTCTCTCTTTCTTTCTTTTCTTTTCATTTCGTTGCAGAGCTTCAGCTCATGCTTCAGCTGCGCCCCCTTTACTTGAATTGCATTGCCTTTTATAGGCAAGGTACTACCTGCAAAAACAAATAAAATAATATTAATATAATAATATATATATATATATGTATTATGTGGGATGCACATGGTATGCATGGGTGCACAGTTTAATAATATTTAAAATGTATTATTTATATTAATTTTTGTACAAACACTCAAAATATATAAAAATACAAAAAAATATGTAAAATTATAAAATAGTAAAAATAAATGGACTAATAAAATGTATTTCAGGGGCTAAAAATGTAACATTTAGGCTCCAATCATTTAATTCAAAGAGTACAACCGATGTATTTAGGCCTAATCTAAAAAAGGAAATAAGAATAAACATATACTCTTACAATCAATATAATATATTTACATAATTAACATAATATTCTCACATGTTAATGATCTCTAGATCCTAGTGTAGTCCAGTGACTCACTCTAAATTGCCATTAGATCTGCTGTACATTTGTACTTTTAAATCAATAGCAAAGCCTACCACTACATCTCTCTATCTCTCTTTTGTTTCAACGCCGCCCGTGTCATGACCCGAACCCGCCCCTATGAGTTAAGGACATAACCGGCCAGTAATCCTGAGATTACCTACGGCCTCAGACCAAAACAGACATAACCTGTCAGAGTAAAGGGGCCAAACGGAAGCAATAAATAAAAACTTTGTCCATTGAGCCGTGCTTATATGCACATCAAACAAACCATACTCAGATACGTTAATAACCCACATCAAAAGTACAGTTTCACAAAATTCATTACAGACAGGATCAACCAAAACGAGTCAACCTATGACAGACTATTTACAGACATACATAAAGTCCTTGCCGGCAAGACAAAACATAATTACATAGCAAAAAGGCAAGGGTAGGTCTCAAGAGTGAGACGCAAGGCTGACTTGCTCAAAACTCGGATTTTTCCTAGCGGACTTCACTGGGGCTGAGTTTGGACTTCCCTTGGCTCACCTACAAACACATGAATGAGCGTGAGCGATAGCCCAGTGAATAATATCAAATGCAGAGATTACATAACAATGTAGAACAACATGTTCCAAACGGCCTTGGGCCCAATTCATACTCCTATTCATGGCAAAACGGCCTTCGGCCCATTCACTTATGTCGAAACGGCCTTTGGCCCATTCATTTATGTCAAAATGGCCTTCGGCGCATTCATTTATGTCAAAACGACCTTCGGCCTACTCGTTCATCTCAAAACGACCTTCGGCCTACTCGTTCATTTCAAAACGACCTTCGGCCTACTCATTCATGTCAAAATGGCCTTTGGCCTACTCATTCATGTCAAAACGGCCTTCGGCCCACTCACATGTGTCAAAACGACCTTTGGTCCATTCATTTACATCAGGACGACCTTTGGTCCATTCATTTATATCAAAATGACCTTCGGTCCATTCATTCACATCAGGACGACCTTTGGTCCATTCATTTATATCAAAACGACCTTCAGTCCATTCATTCACATCAGGACGACCTTCGGTTCATTCATTTATATCAAAACGACCTTCAGTCCATTCATTCACATCAGGACGACCTTCGGTCCATTCATTTATATCAAAATGACCTTTGGTCCATCCATTCATTCCTGTCAGACTTTTGTCCACAATCCCAATTAACAACTCATAAAGTTTAAGGGAATAAACAATTGGACATTGACAAGCTTTCGAATATTTATATTACTCACAGTGATCGGCTTGTGGATTCGCCCTGGAGCTTGACCCTACACATTCCATGAACACAGAAGGGTCATTAACCATTCAATCTGTTCCTTAATTCACATATTCCTCTTTAGGCTTTATTTCTATCTTATTAACTCATTTGTAACGCTTAACACATGCCTAAGAGTGATTACAAGTGAAAGAGAACGGAAAACGAAACACAGGATGCATGAACAAAATTTCAGAAAATAGGGTCCCCGCTCGAGCGTGTACTTACCCGCTCGAGCGGACCCTTAAGGCCTGCAAAAGTACTGGTTGCATGAAAAATGCGCTCGAGCGCGGAATAGAGCGCTCGAGCTGAAGGCCTGTCTACAAAACTCCACGCTCGAGCGTGAGGTATCCCGCTCGGGACCTCAAAAATCTGGGTTTCCCAGATCGTGTTCTTGAGCTCCAAATCAGTTTTCCATCTATGTTTCTTGCATGCAATGGTTCAAATTACACATTTACACATGCTAACATGCTACTAATGCAGATTACAACATTAGGAAGCTCAATTACATGAATTATCTACATGCATGTCCCAAAATATCTCAAACCCATCATCAACATGCTCAAATTCAAACATTCAAGACTTATACTCCCATGATTTGTACATGCATGTGGGAGATGCTCATCATTCTCAACTTAGATGGTACAAATGGTGATTACAACATGAGCTTTAACCAAAACTCTACATGAATCATGTGTTCCAAGCTCAAACATGCAGATTCAAAGTAATTTCTTACATGCATGCACATATTAACCTTCAATTCAACAAACACAACTCAACTTCATTACAATCTTGTTCTTGATCACCAAGATAGCTTGGACATGCACAAAACTACAATTATAATCCAAGAATCACTCACCTAGGAGCTTGATCCCCACAATCTATGATCAAATCTTGAGTTAGACTTCCAATCTCCAAGTTTCAAGACCAAAGTTGCACAATCCCTCTTTCTCCCTCCCTATAGTCGGCTCTCCCTCTCAAATTGAGTTCAAGAATCTGCCAAAATAAGCTAAGGGAGAGAAATAAGGTGTAGTGCTCAAATATATTAAGTCCCACTAAGTCAATATAATAATATAAAATAATGGGGTACTTAATTTATCATTTTAATCAGTTTAAATTGACCAGAATCAATTTTTAATTAAATTTCACCGTAGGCTCCAAAAATTATGCCAATCACAAACCCGAAATCAATTTCGGGTTCTGTAGCCGATAAGGCCTCCAATTTAATTTCCAAAGCTGATTATTCAAACAGATATTCCTACGGTGAACAGATAAAACTTTCAAAATCACCTATATTCACATAATGGCACATAAAATCATGGTAAACACATAATCACACTCAATTTAAGGACCAATTAGCATATTACGGAACAGGGGTATTACAGCCCGCCCACCCCCCTCCCCTCTTTCTCCTTTGCCAATTCATGGCAATGAAGTGTAGTCCAGGGAGTTGGGTGTTCTCGGATCTAAAAGCAGAGTTTCAGGGCCTAATATGTTGAGAGAACTCTTGTAAAATACTACTATGTTCTTTGTCATCTAATATAAGTATCCTTGTTTTGCTGCTTACAAAATCATTGCCATGAATTTACTTCCCATCTGGTGAAAATGTTATTGTTCCAATTCTGTTTAGTAATGATTAATAAGTATTCCATGCTATGCAGGTTGCAAAACCAGTGCCACGAATTTGCTTCTTATCTGGTCTTACAGGGGAGGAGATGATGATGTTCATTGATAGCTTTCCAGAAACGGGTACTGAATTGTCTTAATAGCCTTTTATTATCGCCAGACATGATTTTACGTTTTGGTATAAGTTGGTTCTGATCATGGTTAAAATTGAAATGAGATGTCTTAGCATCAAGCAACAGGTAATAGAGTGTAAATGCAACTTGTTCAGATCGTGGGCTGGCCAAACTTGAAAATTTTCAAACTTTTCCAACACAGTCCTAATATATATTTTTTTTCTTGGAAAAAATATATGGTAATGTGTGTTCTAGAACTCACAATAGCAAACATTTTTAAACATTTTGAAACTTAGCAGATTTGCTACTGTTGCCTTGTTGCAAGTCAATATGGTATACCAAAGGTTCTTTCTTGATTGTAGGCATATTTATGTTACATAATGTTGTCAGTATCTTAAGATTCACGATATGTATCTTACGATTCGATACCTTTCAGAAGGAAATCAATATTATCATCCGTACGTATCTTAAATTAAATGTATCTTATGATACATATACGATACATGTTGCGATATACAATACATAATATGATATGTATGTTACATGAATACTTAAATTTCTTTAGCAAATTTGAAAAAAATATATTCAAATTATTTTATTTAAATTAATATTGTCGAAAATTTTCATCAACTTATTAAAAAAAAAAAAGCTATTTTTGAGATGAGAATGGTACTTTTTAGTTTATTTCTCGACTTTTTGACATATCTATCGTATGGTTTAAGAATCTTGCGTTATTAATTTATGCCTTGTGAAGATAATATATATTGTTGCATGTATATATTTAATTTAAGGAACTTTACTTTTGCAATTGACAGAAGTATACATTATTTAGTGTTTTATTCTCATAGGATATTTGTTTTTTATAACTACATTTATTTTTCTACCTATTTCTAAAGATATTGAAGTATCTTACGATACACTACGTGATTAAGAAAAATCAAAAAATGATACACGATTCGTATCCTGATTTGACAACAACATGGACTTGGGTGCTGGAGCATATCTAGGGGTTGGACACATTAAACTCCAAATTTTAGGATATGCTGACTTTGCAAAATAGAAACAACAAATTAGATATGGATACGGTGATACATTGTCTAATTAGAAAAAAAAAATTATACATGAAAATTAAAATTTATTCATGTTCTATCATATTATAAACAATGATTTTATTATAATTTAATATGTTGGCAATGATTTTTCTCTTTTTTTGATAGAAACAAAATTATGTTTCTAAACAAAATGGTCAAATCCATATCACGTATCTCCCTACCCATATCTTGTTGTGCTGACACAAGTACTTTAAACAAAACTGAAGAGTCCATGAAACAGAGTTATATACATCCAAGTTTTGCATGGTATGTGAGACTAGTGGACAGCTTTGGGGCATTTATGTTAGCTTGTTATGAAAAGATTTTCCATCATTTCTTCTTCTTAATAAACCCTGAGTTTCCATTGACGTTATTTTTGCCCTTGGCTTCAATATTTACATTATTTTCTGATTTGACATCATTACTCGGTCCTATTCAGGGCTGGAACCGGCTGTATTTGCAGCTCTCGTTCCCAACAGTGCCAATACACCACTACAAGAGTTGATAGAAGAGATTATGGGAGACCACGAAATGCTGGTAAGTTGACATCTCCTTGCTGCAAATATGTTTTTTCTCTACAATTATCTGGTCATCATCAGCTTACAGTAATTTTTCAACTTCGATATAGTCTTCAAAACAGTCGGGCTAGATGCTGCCAAATGCAGATTAGAGATTTGAAGGTTCAAGAACTCAATTTTTGGTTTTGAGATTGTTTATATGTACCAGTAATTCTAGCTTTACCTTACCTTAGGAGCATGGTGGCAAATCTATTTTTAGAGTCAAATTATCACTGAAGATGACCTTCTTGTTTTGTTTTTTTGTTTTCTGTAGGTAGGAAAGAGGATGTGCTTAGAAACAAGTTAGTGTTTGTAACCGAATTTGTTAACACTATTGCAATGATGGAGCTCTCCCCATACATATCTATCAATTAAAGTGTACTGCACTTATGCTTGTTTTTGTTTTTGACATGATAGTGAAATTTCTCATTCCAAGTGCATTTCTATTCCAAGCATTTCCCAAAATTGCCATTAGATTTCTTCCTCCTCGAGTCAGGCTGGATCCTTTGTTTCCCTGTGCCAAGTTATTTCTCTACCACACGGAGGAGACATGGACTGAGAATACTGCTTCAGAAACACATGGTTGCAGGTTTCCTAGTGCTTTTTTAGGACAGCAACTGAACTCAAAACATATCAGACTTTTTAGAACCGATTGCATGCAAATGAAAAATAGTGCAGAATTTGAAATCAGATGAACAGAATGTGCCAAAGCCTGGTTTAATGTTAGTGTAAAAGCATTCGATGCACAAATTCGGGTTTCGAGGTATGATGAAACTCTTTTTTTTGGGACAGGCTTGCATTCATTGTTCAATTCTTATTTATCAAATTGATCATTTTTAACTACTTTGATCTTCACAATTACCAGCTGCAGAAAAGTGCAATTTTCTTTCTGGATTTGAACAAACGGAGAAGCTATATAGTATGTTCTTGTTTTGCAGCATATCTTCGAGTAAACAACTCCCCACACCCTCACCACATACACGACCCAAGGGTTCTTTTAAAAACAAACTTACTGCATTTATGAAGATGCTTATGCGATTCAAAACTGTAGCCTTTAGGCTAAGAACATGGGAGAACAACCCCCCCGCCCCTCCAAAAAAAAAAAAGAACGTCACCTAACGTCAGTTTGAAGATGGCAGGAAATGAATTAATTCTCAATAGTAGTCCAGAGAACCCATTTTTAGCATGCAACACAGGACCTCAGGGTCGATGAAGATGCTCCCAAGTTCACTGACCTTTTGAAACCTTTTAAGTTGTGCAATTTACAACACCAGCAACATCACTTTGCATGGGAATTGTTCAGGTTCATGGGAAATATTCCAGTTGAAATGCACAGAATAAATACATCACCATCATAAATTACATTTCAACTACCTAATCTTTAACGAGCAAGATGCAGACAGAGATTATATGAACTGTCACAGACACAGCATGTAAGAAATGAGGACTCTTCATTCTTTTATGCTTTTAACAACTTAAAACACATGTTGATATAGCTTTTCCTTGGAAGTTATACCAGGATTGGAGCAAGCTATCTTCATGACTTTGTGTTATCCTGAATGGATGGAAAAACAGGCTTAACTGGGTTGCTTTCGGAGGACAGCTACAAACTGGATCTCTGTAGTATTCATTTTATTGGTGCTTGAGCGTTGAGAGTTACATCTGATGAACGAAGCATTGATCATCAGAAACATGTTGATAAAATCAGAACCTCCGAACTATGCCCAACAACTATACATCAATAAGTTCGAAACTTTAGAAAAACTTGCAAATAATCGATGTGTAAACTAACACAAAACACAGAAGGGAAAAAATTCAAGAAAGCAGATGAGTTAGAGAAACTTGAATTTTAAACTAGCCACCCATCTTTTCAGTTGATGAAGGATTCAATGGACTTCCATTTAAACATTATGCTGAACCATCACAAAAATGGATATCCTATAAATATGGCACTGCCAACTTCCCAACTCCTATTCTAATAACAGAAATCCAATTTTACTTAAATTCAGTGTCCTTCCTCATACTTGTTTCGGCTGCAATGATTTTTTTTGAAGAATTTGCCAAAGTTGTTATCAACAAAGTGTTCATATGGTAATAACAGGAAGGGGTGCATTTAAGCTTCATGTCTTACCCAATCCCTTGGGAGCAGAAGGAATGAGCAAAAAACAAAAAAAAAAAAAAAAAATTCAGTTACTGATTATTTTGGAAGTTTAGATTCTCTTTTACCATATTTTATCTCAAATCCCAAATCCCAACTCTACTGTTCATAAATTTATAATGAGCCCTAACCTTTTCCAGCCACCTTTTGGCCTTGAAATTAACAATGACAAACTCTGACATACTACCTGTCCAAAACTACAACTTTGAAAGCTATCAGATTCTAACCCGCTCCGTCTACGGGCCAACAAAACTTTCTTCTATGTATTAAAATCCTGAAGATACAAGCTTTCAATACCCCCAACCCATCATTAAAATCAATTATAGGGAGCAACATCTTAAATTTTCTGGTGCTGTCTTACATCATTCTTTAATTTTGAGATCAAATTCATGGTTTTAGGTTGTATAGGGAACGAAAAGATTCCTTTGTCTTGTTCAACATATCTTTGCTTAAGTCCTATCAACAAAAGAAATTTGTGTTCCTAGTTCCTACTTGAACTCATCTAGAGGCCAAGTCCCTACATCTAGTAGGTTTCCTCATTCCATCTCCATAGAAACCACAAAAAGATGGTACAGAAAGGAACCACCTTTACCCAAAATAAAATCAGGATAAAGTAATTTTGCAACTAGTACACAAAAGAAGTTACCCCTCCTACATGGGGTATAAGCTCTAGCTTCCCCTCGCTCCTAGACATTAAACAATTCAATTTGGAGAAGATAGGTGTAATATCAGTAGTTTGATATTCCCCCACTATACATACCAGTACTTTTAATTTTCCTAGATTGTACTTCAAGTTTTCAACTATCATTCCAAACTTAGCAGGATTAGCAAAATTTATCATTTAGAAGAAATTCCGTTACATACCTCTTGACAATTAAATTCATTAAAATAGTACCCCTTTTCCTAGTTATCAATTCGTCTGGACATTGTTTAGGGGTAGTGATTATAACTTAACCCCATGGTTAGTACCTCAAAAATTATCCACGTGTTGTGTCTGTATCTGTGCTTCTTAGGAAGGTTATATTATACACACACACAAACACACTCACAAACCCCCATCCACATTTCTCATGGAAGGCCATTTGGATGATTTCCCATGTGATGCAACACCACATGCATATCTAGAACAATGGAATTTAGCATTCGGTGTCGTATCACTGATATAGCGATCCCGATTTTGACCCGACCTTTGTTACATTCCGGACTGCGGTTTCGTAGTTTAATATTGTATCCATGTCTTATTTTCCTCCTTTAACTCTTTGAATTTGAGTTTCGGAATATGTTGGACGTGTTTGGAACAGGTTGATTGTTAGTTGGTCTAGATTGTTGTTGCCCAAATTTTGGCTTCTTCGCTCAAGCGAGGCTTCTTGCGCTCGAGCGAGATTTGCGAGTTCTCAGGTTTCTTTCCCAGACGCAGAATTTCTGGGAATGTGAAGTTCTTCGTTCGAGTCAGGCTTCTTGCGTTCGAGCAAGCGTGTGCGTCTGTAAAACTTCTGAAGCTTTACATTATGCACTCGAGCGAGGTCACTTGTTGTGTCTGGTCGCTCGAGCGACAACTCCTTCGCTCGAGCGAAAGTCGCGTATATCAGTTTGTAGCAGAGGAGTTTTATATCACTTTTTGATTTTCTTTTTGCAAATAAACCTAATTCGGCACTCTCTCTCTATCTAAAACTCTCTCTCTCTACAAATACTCTTTGATCCAAGCATCACTACCCTACTTCCTTTGAAAAAAATGTGGAGCATCTTGTGGGCTTCCATTCCATCCGAACCAAGCTTGGTTTTGTGCACTTTTGAAGATCTCATTCTTTTCCTCTAGGCTTCTACACTTGAGGTAGGGATATTCTACACCTTGTTATCGTTTTTAACCTAGGTATTTGTCATTTTATATAAGTGATGGAATTTGGGAGGATTTGAGTGAAGTTAGGGTTTGTGTTCAAAGTTTAAAAGAGGGATTTTTATATTGGGTTCCATGAATGTATATATATGAGGAATTGAATATGAGGTTATATGGGTTAAAATGATGAACTTGGACTTGGGATTGATATTTGGAAAAGGGAAAAAATTGCCCTAAATTGTGTTAAATAATTATTTTGTATGAATAATGAAATTGATATGAGAAATATGAAATTGGGAGGATGTGTGAATGAATAGTGTTGTTGGATTCGATAAATCACTCACCTATGAAAAATTTGATAAATTATCTGCTTGATAAATTGTACATCTGTTTAGAAATATCTATTTTGGGCTATCGATGGAGGATAGTAATGATTGTTGTAGAAACTGTATGAGAACTAGGTGAATTGAAACTGGTCATTTGAATTATGTCATTGAATATGATGGTTTGATTAAACCATTGAATATGTGATTTGGATAGTCATTGTATATGACAACACTTTTACATACATTGTATATGTATTATTGTTTGGGAGGAGATAGGGGACGTACTCCATTGTTTGGAAGGAGATAGGGGACGGACTCCATTTAAAATTAAGTTGGCCGGAGTGTCCAGGATGAAAGACCCGAAATCTTATATATATATGGGTGCCGATTCCTTCGGACGAGAATCTGTAAAATGGCAAGAAGATTGAAGTGTTTGAATAATTAATGTTATTGAATTGCGAATGAATGAGTTGTAGTCTCATTGGGATTGTTTAGATGATAAGGAACTACACTTATGCATTAATTTGAAATGAATGAATGGAAATGGATTAATATGTGGTTATCAATATTGAATGGTAATGGGGAGAATGTAACTTGGCCTTGAGTATTGGACTTTTATCTGACATTTATATCTTAGTTAAATCTCATATATTGTGTTAGTTTATCTCTGCTAGGTTTTGCCTCACCCTACTTGGAAAACCATTTCAGGTCCATGTGACATGCCTCCTCCAAAGGCGTAGCTTGGGAGGACTTAGGAGTTGGAGGCTTTGTTTTGTTACTTTTGTGTTTAAATGTTTATTCAAGCCAAAGACTTTATATGTATAGAGCTTAGGACTCTTTTGTTGTAATCAAGTAATATCTTGAAAAGATGTAAGCCCGTAGAACATTTATTTTGTTGTAATCAACCAGTGTTACCTGCTGTAGTTTCAAAATGAATATTTATGAAAGTGTAATGCATGTAACATCTCTTGTAATATAAACTCTGATGAATGAAAGAATAACATTTTCTATTATGTTCATGAATCTCATGGGATGGATTATTCACTTTATTTTGAGGGCGTGACAACTGAGCAACAAAAACAATGTCAAAC